GAATTTTACGAAAAATCACATCAAATCCTCGAAAAAGCTCTGCCTTCGAATCATCCCGATTTGGCTATTTCCTACAACAACATCGGTGGAGTGTATAACAACATGGGTGACTACTCGAAAGCACTTGAATTTTACGAAAAATCACATAAAATCGACGAAAAAGCTCTGCCTTCGAATCATCCCGATTTGGCTAGTTCCTACAACAACATCGGTCAAGTGTATAACAACATGGGTGTCTACTCGAAAGCACTTGAATTTTACGAAAAATCACATAAAATAAGAGAAAAAGCTCTGCCTCCGAATCATCCCGAGTTGGCTATTTCCTACAACAACATCGGTGGAGTGTATAACGACATGGGTGACTACTCGAAAGCACTTGAATTTTACGAAAAAGCACTTAAAATAAAAGAAAAAGCTCTGCCTCCATATCATCCCTCATTGGCTACTTCCTACAACAACATCGGTCAAGTGTATAAGAATATGGGTGACTACTCGAAAGCACTTGAATTTTACGAAAAAGCACTTAAAATCGACGAAAAAGCTCTGCCTTCGAATCATCCCCATTTGGCTAGTTCCTACAACAACATCGGTGGAGTGTATAACAACATGGGTGACTATTCGAAAGCACTTGAATTTTACGAAAAATCACATCAAATCCTCGAAAAAGCTCTGCCTTCGAAGCATCCCAATTTGGCTATTTCCTACAACAACATCGGTGCAGTGCATTACCACATGGGTGACTACTCGAAAGCAGTGGAATTTTACGAAAAAGCACTTAAAATAAAAGAAAAAGCTCTGCCTCCATATCATCCCTCATTGGCTATTTCCTACAACAACATCGGTCAAGTGTATAACAACATGGGTGACTACTCGAAAGCACTTGAATTTTACGAAGAATCACTTAAAATAAGAGAAAAAGCTCTACCTCCGAATCATCCCGATTTGGCTACTTCCTATAACGACATCGGTCAAGTGTATAAAAATATGGGTGACTACTCGAAAGCACTTGAATTTTACGAAAAATCACATCAAATCTTGGAAAATGTTTTGCCTCCGAATCATCCCGATTTGGCTGGTAGTCACTTGAGTTTTGCAGCATGTTACGAACGAATGGGTGATTACGCCGCAGCTCTTAGGGCTCTTCAAAGTGCTTTTCAAATTAAACAACAAGCCTTTCAAGAAGGTAATCCAGCTTTTGCTTCAACATATAGTTGGCTCGGAAGAGTTTATCGCAGTACCAAAGATTACTCAAAAGCACTTGATAATTTTGAGAAGTGTCTCTCAATATATCTGAAAACGTTACCTGAAAAACATCCCTATCAGGCTATTACTTATAGTAATATAGGTGATGTTCATCGATTAATGGGTAATTATGAAAAGGCACTTGTATTTCATCAAAAAGCATTAAATATTCAAGAAAATGTTCAATGTAATCCTCTGGAATGTGCAACGACATATATAAATTTAGGTGAAAATTATCGTGAAATAAAAGATTACTCAAAAGCATTGACATATTTCGAAAAAGGATTAGAAATACGTGAGAAGAAATTATCAAAAAATCATCCTGATTTAGCTGTTGTATATCATAATATGGCAAAATTATATTTGGCTACACGAAAATGTAGTATGGCAATGAAAAATATTCAACAAGCAGTTGAAATAGCTCAAGAAAAATTACCTTCAACTCATCCTCATCTTTTGGAATATAAAGAAACATTTGAAAAAATTCGAAAGAAAATGTAATTTTTGTTTTCATTTACTTGCTCAATAAATTGGTTTTGATTCTTTTTCACTTCCCTACTTTTCTAGGCTCATTTCCATACGTACGCGCGCGCGACCAGGGAGAGGCTCTATGTGTATAAAACGGGTACACACAGAGCGGACCACGCCGGACTGGTAGGGCAATGTACATAGGTGTACCGTACATAATGACGACAGGGACCTACGTACATTAAAGGCCTTCCCGAGTACTACACTGCTTTCGCCATTCCATGACGAATAGAATCTATCTTCTAACATAAATAACATAGACTTAACATAATAACACTACACACTAAATGTGTACAACAATGAAGAAAAAAATTATTTCATCCGAAATAAATCATCTATATCTCATTCTAATATTATCTCAATGTAAGTATTGTTATGAAAATTTAATTTAGAATTGTTCTTTCAAGAAAACAAAAAAAAAAGTTTTTTTTTATCTTTCAACTATTAATTTATTTATTCAAGTCTTTCTCAAGATAAATAAGATAATTTTTGAAGCAACATACCCGATCTTGTTATTGGTATAAATCAATAATAAATCATATTCTTTTTTAACATTCTCATGGTTTTTATAATTTCATATAACTCATTAAAAAAAAGCAGATGAATTCTAAAAACATCATAGAATAAATTTCTATCATAAATCAATACATCCTAACATATATTATCATTGAAATCAAAAATATTGTAAAAAAATATGAATCATAATATAACATCATTGAATGAATGAATCAATTTCATTATAAATTAATGCATTGTAAAGCAATGAATTTAAATAACATCATTCAATAAATTTCATTCTAAAATAAAAGATTTTAATATAATATTATTCAATAAATATCATTGTAAGTAATCAATTTTACAACATATAATAAATTCCATAGTAAATTAATATATTTTTATATAATACCATTCAATAAATATTATGGTAAATTCATGCATTTTAATATAATATTATACAATAAATTTCATTGTAATTTAATATAATATAATGCATCATAAACTTACATATTTCATTTTGAAATAATGTATCTTTATATAATATCATTCAATGAATATTATCGTAAATTAATGAATTTTAACAGAACATCATACAATAAATATCATTGTAATTTAATACATTTTTATGTAATATCATTCAATGAATATTATGGTAAACCAATGCATTGTAACGTAACATCATATAATAAATTTCACTATAAATTGATACATTTTAATACATCGTAAATTGTATACATTTCATTGTAAAATAATACATTTTTAAATAATATCATTCAATAAATATCATTGTAAATAATGAATTTAACAGCATATAATAAATTTCATCGTAAATTAATATATTTTTGTGCAATATCATTCAATAAATATTATGGTAAATTCATGCACTTTAACATAACATTATACAATAAATTTCATTGTAATTTAATACAATATAATGCATCATAAACTTACATATTTCATTTAAAAATAATGCATCTTTATATAATATCATTCAATGAATATCATTGCAAGTAATGAATTTAACAACATATAATAAATTTCATTGTAAATTAATGAATTTTAACACAATATCATACAATAAGTTTCATTGTAAATCAAAACATTTTAATACATCATGAAATTGATAAATTTTATTGTAATATAATGCATTTATTGAATTGTACAGAAATGAATTTTAATAACACCAATCAATAGATTTTGTTCTAAAAAAATGCATCATTATATAATATCGATCAATAAATATCATCGGAAATTAATGTATTTTAATTCTTTGCGTCCCAAATTATTTCTGCTGAACACTGACACGTCCAGATAAAAACCAACATACTCGCATACGGATTCACGTGCGCACACCTATACACCCATATCTACAAACTCGACACCGACCACATCCACATCGTTGAACATTCTTTATTGCTACATTTCAGTAAATTACATAATAATTATTAAACATGTATAGATTTCTTTTTCCTACTATAGAATTCAAAGAGTTAACATAACATTATGTAACAAATTTCATTATAAACGTATACATTTTCATACATTATAAACGCATACGTAGCATTGTAAATATATTTCATTTATAGTATTGTAAATAATTATAAATTGATAACTGTATGTTATTGATAAAAAGTCATAATGTAAAATAATACTAATTATTGTAAGTAAGATAAAAAATTGTAAACCGTGAAAAATAAATCATGTGAGTGTCATGTTTTATATTTATTGAGCATGCTCATGATTTGTTCGATCGAATCGTATGAGAATACTGGTGAAAATGTGTTTCTTATATATACGTATATGTTTTTAAACATACACATTACCAATCAAAGATATTCGAACGATGTTGATACCAATTTGACGAACGATAATTGACGATGATGTGCACATTCAAATATAATTGATTAATCATCATATGATTAATTGAAATGATGAGACACGAATTGATTTAATCGTTTTTCATGTGCATGAATGAATACTTGTCCTTTGTTCATATACACTCCTTCATGGACAATACATATTCTTTTTTTTCTCTTTTTTTTGAATCAGAAGAAATTGTTTGAAATTCTAATGATTGATAAATAATAGTGTATGATGCTATGAGACAAGGTGCTTATTGTAATTGTCAAGAAATCATATTAATAAATAATAGTAAAAAAAAATTCATTAGCAATTTGATTTACGTGATAATATAACATTA